ATCCCCAGGGGCTAGGGCGGGGCCCCAAAGGGAACATTTACCAATATTTTCAAATTCTTATCCATTGATGACATGACAAGTATTGAATTTCACTTAGTTTACATGCTGATTTCCACATCACATCTAAACAATAAAATAAAGCTACCAGTACCTATGATATAACTCAGGTGACCGCTAAGGCCCTTGGGCCTCTTGTTTTAATGTAGCATTACAGGTACAAAGCCTGACAGACCTGTAAGTCTTATTACAGGCCTCGAAGTCTTTGCCAAGGCTCGCCAGAAAGTATAACATCAAATTGCAAGGTCCATCCCTATTTCATATACAATCATCTCTGGTTCAAACGCAAGTGGCCCTGGAAACAGAGGTGTTAGCAAATTAAGGGGAGATAATTTGACTGTACAAAGATTTCTTAGGTTTACCTAATGATCGATGAAAATGCTGTATACTACCCAGGTGTGGGCTGTTGGAGAGTACTGTTCCTCGACTCATGATGACAGGTGTAACACAGACATCATCAAGAGATTCTTCGACACGCTAGAGCCTCTCACATACGAAATGTCCGCCATGGTTTCCATGGGGAGGGTGACCTGTCCTGAAGGTCATGCCAAGATCATCTCCATTCTCATGTCATCTATTGCTAAGGTAAATCAAACAAATAGCAAATAAAGTCGGGGTGATAGGAATGTTGGAATGTACCAATACCCGGTAGTTTGAACATAAGTCATGTTCAGGGAAAAGGTAGTAGAGTTAATATTATACACTTTGTAATCTAAAAAGAAATTTCATTTTATTTAAACATATATTTTATGCATGTTGTCCCATTTTTGGTTGTGGAAAAACAGTACAAATATTTCCCCGGTCTATTGAGTTATTCTAATTGGGATGTACAAAAGCTAGAAATGTTGACTGATTGTACAAAACATTATTCTTAAGCTAATAGGTTTGTGTAGCCATCTCTCAGTAGAATTTAATCAAATTTTGTAGTTATATTGCTTTGAAGTAAAGAAAATTTTCTGCCACAAAAAAAACTACAGGTTGTCAGAATTTTAAGGATTTTAAATGGAAATTTATGTAAAAAGGAGTGAATTTTGAAAAACAAATTGAAACTGAAACACATAATTTTTTGCAAAATAGTGTCAATAAAAATGATACTAACATAGATTAGTATTGCATTAATGTATACATATCGATTTCATAAATGCTGAAATTGTGTAATATTAATTATCCAAAAACGATTAAATATACACATTGTAATTGCATGCGAGAGTTATCGTTCTTGAAAAACTCATTGATTAAAAAACAACTGAATTAATGCCTGGATTGCTTTGCAATACTTTAATATTGAAAGAACACACTGTTCTGTCAATAATAAACATACAATATTCATCACTTTAATATTAAATATGCGGAAATTGTGATACCGTCTCCCTACATTGGATTTTCAACTAGGGATGTACTTCCTATTTCCGTTTAGCACTACACTCCTATGACCTTAAGTAAGGGAGGAGTAATGTCATTTATTTGACCTGTGAAATTTCCCTAGTACAACAGCCATGCTAGTTTGCCTGTATCACCACTCATGTGTTGTAGTTGTCATCGCGGTGCCAAGACCTCATCCCGAGGGCGGTGTTGTGTCTCAGCAAGGTCAGTCAACAGCAGCAGCAGTGTGGGGCCCAGGACCCGGAGATACAAGATGCTTTGGTCAGCCGTTCACAACACCTGGTCAACCTTCTGCAGATTCCAAAGTAAGTCCTTGGTCCGCTTGTACAGGTGTAGTATAAGCTGGTCACCTATTGGTCAGTCATACAGCTTCCCTATACTGTATTTTAGTTTTAGTGGGGTTTCTAATCTTAGCGACTTTCGGGCTACTCATCTCATCCGCTAATTCATGTCCTTGGTTAAAATTAGAGCATACAGCTCCGGTAACTGAGGCTATCTATATCATACAATGTAAGATTTCATGGGAGACTAAATGACGATAACATACTTCGTTTGTGAAAGAAAAGCAAGCTTTATTTGTTCTAAGGTACTCGCCTAATTTACCTGGCTTGCCGTTCTATGGGCTTGTTCCCTTACACCCACTGTACACCCAGTATATGTTAGTCTATTTCAAAAAATGACATTTGCATAATTTGTAAATTAGGGTACTGCAATTCCACTCATTCAAGCGTATGCTAATATGTCCTCCCCCCTTTGTTCCACCTTTGTTAAATTTGAGTGTGCAAATATAAGTACACTTAATGGAAATTTCCCTCCCAAATCCCTGGTCATGTTATGCAAGAGATGCACAAGGTTTGGATGTCCCATGAACACTTGACTTGAGTCAATATAGTGTAACAGGAAAGAGAGTAGTGTGCTTCCACCGGAGATCAAACCTTCGATCTCCAGGATCCTAGTCGAACGCTCTACCACTGAGCTAAAGGGAAATTCCCTCTAGAAGCTAGAAGGTGACCGTAATCTTATGTACAATTAAAATCCTCCACACAATATTTAACCAATTTTCTAATTGTACACATAACCCATTTTATTCAGCTTCTCTAGTGCAGAAAGAATGTAATACATTCATGGAGAAAGATTGAAAAAAATCTTCTTAAGTGAAGCTATATATCTGCATGAATCTAAGTGTCTCCTCACTCAAACAGGATGAGGTGATAACTTATTTAAAACTCAAAGCAAGAAACCCTCTAATTTCTCAAAAAGATGTTTTCTTTGTCCTAAATTTAGAAATCAGGTGAAAACTTTTCATGGATCAAAGTAAGCAGGGCACAGAAAAAGACCATGCTACAATAGCATACTGATAAACCACTGCAAGTTCATTAATAAAGAATAGATAAGTCTTGCACGCTTTCCTCAGTATATATACTCTTTATCTCTTATTATATTCTTCATTTACATCATTGGCCATGCTAGGAAAAAGTTCTTCTAAATAAGGCGTTTCATCCTTGGTATCTACATTTCATCCTTGGTATCTACATTGCATCATTTCATCCTTGGTATCTACATTTCATCCTTGGTATCTACATTTCATCATTTCATCCTTGGTATCTACATTTCATCCTTGGTATCTACATTTCATCATTTCATCCTTGGTATCTACATTTCATCCTTGGTATCTACATTTCATCATTTCATCCTTGGTATCTACATTTCATCCTTGGTATCTACATTTCATCCTTTGTATCTACATTTCCATCCTTGGTATCTACATTTCATCCTTGGTATCTACATTGCAGTTTTGCTGCTGTTGTTTTAAATCCTAGTCCAGAAATACATACAGGCAGGTAAGTGTCAAAGGTTCTGTTTCTCATGATTTCAAGTCTCAAACAATACATATATGTAGGAATTAAAGATTTGAAATATGGATTTGGTAAATAGTATATGCCAAGTTTGTTTTGAACAAAAACAGGAATTGAAAAAGCTGGTTGGATAAATACTTTAAACTCTGCAACAATGAAAAGTAACAAAATATTTAACCCACTCAATTAAAAATAACAGGTGAATATCAAGTATTTTCTCAATGTACCACTTATTTCAGATGGCATCTGGACAGCACAGGTTTACCATCTATGCTTAGAGGTGTACACAGGATCATAGCATCCGACTCTTAGCATTCAATGAACAATTTATCATTGCTATTCGTGGAATCACATACTCGCATTGTGCCAATGGTGTTTATTTGTTATATACAATACATTTATTACTGTTATTAAAATACTGATTTAATATTTTCTTGTTGTGGTTGTTTATTATTCTGTATTGGTTTTGAGGCACTGCAACAATTTGAAAATTAACTCATTCAACCCTGAAGACACATTTGAACTCTTCCAATTCAAAGGTTGGGATAGTCTTTTATAAAATTTCAGGGGTGAACGAGTTAATACTGTTACACTAACATGAAAATAAATAATGATGACTGCTTAATAACATCGCTGTATTTAAGGTCACCTTACACACGGTCTCGGGTGACCTATTGCAATTGTTTTTGTCCATATTGGCACATCTGTAAACAATTCACATTTTCAACTTCTTTTCAAAAATTGTTTAAATGATATCAATACAATTTTGAAGGAAGCTTCTATGATCAAACCTGAACCAAAATAGTGAATAACTAATAACGCCTTGTGCACATCTTTCATTTATAAATATTAAATTCCCTTTGCCCAAAGATTCTCTAGAACAAGCTTGGTTAAAATCCCTTCAACAGTACAGAAGGAGAAGGGTCTTTGATGTTTTCCTCTATTTCCCCTATTGGGCCCCGCCCCCAGAGGGCCCTCCGCCCCCAGAGGGGCCACACCCTAGGTTTATACAAACTTGAGGCTCCTTTGTACAAAGATGCTCTAGAACAAATTTGGTCAAAATCCTTCAATTGGTTGAGAAGAAGATTTTTAAAGATTTACCTACTTGGGTCTGCCCCCAGGGGGGCCATACCCTCTGTTTATACAAAACTATGAACCCTTTGGCCAACGATGCTCAACACCAAATTTGGTAAAAATCCCTTCATCGGTACAAAAGTAGAAGGATCTTTAATGTTTTCCTTTACTTCCCCTAATGGGCCCAACCCATCTGCCCCAAAGAAGGGGGCCCACCCCTCAGTTTATACAAAATGGATTCTTTTGTCCCTAAGCATGCTTCAGACTGCATTTGGTTTAAATCCCTTCACTTGTATAGTAGGAGAAAAACATTCCTCCATTGCCCCTATTGAGCTCTGCCCCCAAGAGGTGTCACACCCTATACAAACTTGAGGCTCCTTTGTCCAAAAATGCTCTTGAACAAATTTGGTCAAAATCCTTCTATTGGTTGAGAAGAAGATTTTTAAAGATTTACATATTTGGCCCCGCCCCTCTGCCCCCAGGGGGACCATACCCTCCATTTATACAAAACTGAGAACCCTTTGGCCAATGATGCTCCAGACCAAATTTGGTCAAATCCTTTGAGCCGTTAAGGACTAGTAGCGTTTTAAAGGAAAAAGTTGCCGGACGCCGGACGCTGTTTATGAAATAAAGATATAGCACTCCATGGTAGGTGCTGTAAGTACATATGAAATTTCAGAAAGATCCATCCAGTACTTGAGATATAGCGAGAACAAACTTCAAACAGAGCCCCACCCCTTTCCCCCGAGGGGGCCATACCAACCGTTTATACAAAATTGAGTCCCCTTGGCCCAAGGATGCTCAAGACTAAATATGGATAAAATCCTGTCATTCGTACAGAAGAAGGTATTCAAAGAGTTTGCTATGTTATCCCTATCGGGCCCTGCCCTTCTGCCCCCAGGGGGGCCACAGGGACTGTTAATGCAAAATTGAGTCCCTTTTGCACAAGATCATCCAGACCAAATTGGGAAGAAAACCCTTCACCCCTATGGTAGAAGAAGGATTTTAAAGGTTTACCTCTATTTCCCCTATTCGGCCCAGCTCCTCTGCCCCAAGGGGGGCCACACCCACCATTTATACCCTTGGCCCAATGATGCTCCAGACTAAATTAAGACGAAATCCCTTAATCCTTCCGGTAGGAGAAGGATTTCAAAGGTTTTACCTCTATTTCCCATATTGGGCCCCGCCCCTCTGACCTCAGGGGGGCCACACCCACCATTTATACAAAATTGAGTCCCCTTGGCCTAAGGATGCTCCAGACCAAATTAAGTCAAATCTACTTGGCCGTTCAGGACAAATAGCGTTTAAAAGACGGACGAGAGACGACGGACGCTGCGGTATGGCATAAGCATTTTGACCAGGTGAGCTAACAAACTCGGTAGCCCTTCATTTCAACATGCTGCAGGTCAAATATCATCACCCGGGGCATTTTGGTTATTGAAAAGTTGCTGTTTATTTTTAACATATTTGACCCCTGTGACCTTGAAAATAGATGGTCATTTATCTGAATAAACTTGGTAGCCCTTCATCCCAGCATGATACTGGCAAAATATCATTATCCTATGCCTCTTGGGTATTCAAAAGAAGTTGTTTAAAGGTGTTTAACATATTTGACCCCTGTGACCTTGAAAATAGATGAAAGTCATTTATTTTAACAAACTTGGTAGCCCGTCATCCCAGCATGTTACTGGCCAAGTATCAGTATCCTATGCCTCTTGGGTATTTAGGAGAAGTTGTTTAAAGGTTTTGAACATATTTGACCCCTGTGATCTTGAAAATGTGTGAAGGTCATTTGTTTGAACAAACTTGGTAGCCCTTCATCCCAGCATCTTTCTGGCCAAATTTCATCATCAGAGGCCTTTTAGCTATTGAGAAGTTGTTTAAAGGTTTTAAACATATTTGACCCCTGTGACCTTGAAAGTTGGTCAAGGTCATGCATTTGAACCAACTTGGTAGCCGTTCATCTCAGCATGCTACAAGCCCAATATCAGGACCCAGGGTATTTTGGTTACTGAGAAATCGTTTGAAGATTTAAATACATTTGACCCATGTGACCTTGAAAGTGGGTCAAGGTAATTCTTTTGAACAAATATGGTAGCCCTTCATCCCAGCATGTCACAGGCCAATTATCAGTACCCTGGGCCTTTTGGTTATTGAGAAGAAGTTGTTTAAATATTTTTACACATTTGACCCCTGTGACCTTGAAAGTGGGTCAAGGTCATTCATTTGAACACAATTGGTAGCCCTTCATTCCAGCAAATTACTGACTAAATACTATCCTCGGCCTCTAGGTTATTCAGAAGAAGTTGTTAATTTTTTTTAATCATATTTGACCCCTGTGCCCTTGAATATAAGTAAAGGTCATTTGTTTGAACAAACTTGGTAGCCATTTATCCCAGCATGCTACTGGTCAAATAGCATCATCCTAGGCCTCTTGCATATTGAGCAGAAGTTTTCTAAAGGTTTTAAACACATTTGACATATATGACTCCTGTGACCTTTTAATATAAGTGAAGGTCATTCATTTGAACAAACTAGGTACCCCTTTATTACAGCATGCTCCTGGTCAAATAGCATCATCCTAGGCCTCTTGGTTATTGAGAAGAAGTGTTTAAAGGATTTAAACATATTTGACCCCTGTGACCTTGAAAATGGGTCAAGGTCATTCATTTGAACAATCTTGGTAGCCCCTCATTCCAGCATGCTATTGGCTAAAGATCATCTCCCTGGGCATTTGGATATTGAGAAGAAATCGTTTAAGGTAAAATATTGACGACGGACGGATGGACAAAGAACGCCGCACCACGGCATAAGCTCACTTGGCCCTTTGTAGCAGAGGATAGTGTAAGCTTTATTCCAAATTTTCCGCCATTAGAACTAGGGTCTCTTTTTGAATACATTTAGAAGGACTTCAAAATTATTTAAACAAGCCATTTTTTTATTAGTTAGGCGCTGGTGTTAATGTTGGTGGCTTTTCTACCTCAATTCTGGTCCAGACATGGTGCTGCTATACGATTAGTGTTAGGGTAAGGCAACATTAGGCCTAGGAGCCGTCTTACTAAAACTAGACTTATACAGTAAATAATTCACTCCTCTGTCTCCCTCTTCTATACCTTCACTCCATACTTTATCCCTTCTACTCATTTTCCGTAAAACCTATCAATCAATCAATCAATCAATCAGCTGACGTCGACCGAACACCGACTTCGTAAGTGAAGTGTAGACGTAAAACCCATCAACCAACCAACCAGCCAACCAACCAACCAGCTGGCCAGTCAGATTGATACCGATCACAGTACGTTACAGACCAAGCTATAACAACGGTTGGTGTATATAGGAGCCAACTAAAGTTAGTTAATATATATATATGGCTGAACAGTATGTAGATCAGTAGGATTTTAAAGGAAAAGTTGACGAACGTACAGACGACGGAAGACAGACGATGGATGACGGACGCTGCGTTATGCATAAGCTCACCATGGTCGTTTAGACCAGGTGAGCTAAAAGCGATAAAATTAAACTTCACGTGTACAATTGTTATCATCTTTGTTAAATTCATTCCAGTGTAGCATCATCTAACCAATAAAACACCAGGTAGATATGAACGTCATTAATGTGACCAGGTAGATAAACAGGTAACAGGTATATCTACCTGTATCTAACCTCAAACTGTACATTGGATGGGGGCGTTTCACTTGATAGGTTGAGAGAAGAACTGCTCAGAGATTGACTACAAAATCAGCCTACAAATCAACTTATAATTTTAGTAATTGTTTGCTTACCTTCAAGATAAACAGTCTACAAAACAGGCAAGTATACAATTTTCCTCCGTTATAATTGTTTTAATGTGATTTGTCGATATATACTCTAATTACAGAAAATGGAGTTGTGAGGTTACAGAAAAGGGTACTGTTAGCATATTACATTTTGGAAGAGGATACATGTATTGTAAGTACTGGTATTGTGATACTTTGGAGGAGGATACAGGTACTGTAAGTACTGGTATTGTGATACTTTGGAGGAGGGTAAAAGTATTGTAAGTACTGGTATTGTGATACTTTGGAGGAGGGTACATGTATTGTAAGTACTGGTATTGTGATACTTTGGAGGAGGATACATGTATTGTAAGTACTGGTATTGTGATACTTTGGAGGAGGATACATGTATTGTAAGTACTGGTATTGTGATACTTTGGAGGAGGATACATGTATTGTAAGTACTGGTATTGTGATACTTTGGAGGAGGATACATGTATTGTAAGTACTGGTATTGTGATACTTTGGAGGAGGATACATGTATTGTAAGTACTGGTATTGTGATACTTTGGAGGAGGATACATGTATTGTAAGTACTGGTATTGTGATACTTTGGAGGAGGATACATGTATTGTAAGTACTGGTATTGTGATACTTTGGAGGAGGATACATGTATTGTAAGTACTGGTATTGTGATACTTTGGAGGAGGATACATGTATTGTAAGTACTGGTATTGTGATACTTTGGAGGAGGATACATGTATTGTAAGTACTGGTATTGTGATACTTTGGAGGAGGATACATGTATTGTAAGTACTGGTATTGTGATACTTTGGAGGAGGATACATGTATTGTAAGTACTGGTATTGTGATACTTTGGAGGAGGATACATGTATTGTAAGTACTGGTATTGTGATACTTTGGAGGAGGATACATGTATTGTAAGTACTGGTATTGTGATACTTTGGAGGAGGATACATGTATTGTAAGTACTGGTATTGTGATACTTTGGAGGAGGATACATGTATTGTAAGTACTGGTATTGTGATACTTTGGAGGAGGATACATGTATTGTAAGTACTGGTATTGTGATACTTTGGAGGAGGATACATGTATTGTAAGTACTGGTATTGTGATACTTTGGAGGAGGATACATGTATTGTAAGTACTGGTATTGTGATACTTTGGAGGAGGATACATGTATTGTAAGTACTGGTATTGTGATACTTTGGAGGAGGATACATGTATTGTAAGTACTGGTATTGTGATACTTTGGAGGAGGATACATGTATTGTAAGTACTGGTATTGTGATACTTTGGAGGAGGATACATGTATTGTAAGTACTGGTATTGTGATACTTTGGAGGAGGATACATGTATTGTAAGTACTGGTATTGTGATACTTTGGAGGAGGATACATGTATTGTAAGTACTGGTATTGTGATACTTTGGAGGAGGATACATGTATTGTAAGTACTGGTATTGTGATACTTTGGAGGAGGATACATGTATTGTAAGTACTGGTATTGTGATACTTTGGAGGAGGATACATGTATTGTAAGTACTGGTATTGTGATACTTTGGAGGAGGATACATGTATTGTAAGTACTGGTATTGTGATACTTTGGAGGAGGATACATGTATTGTAAGTACTGGTATTGTGATACTTTGGAGGAGGATACATGTATTGTAAGTACTGGTATTGTGATACTTTGGAGGAGGATACATGTATTGTAAGTACTGGTATTGTGATACTTTGGAGGAGGATACATGTATTGTAAGTACTGGTATTGTGATACTTTGGAGGAGGATACATGTATTGTAAGTATTGGTATTGTGATACTTTGGAGGAGGATACATGTACTGTAAGTACTGGTATTGTGATACTTTGGAGGAGGTTAGATGTATTGTAAGTACTGGTATTGTGATACTTTGGAGGAGGATACATATATTGTAAGTATTGGTATTGTGATACTTTGGAGGAGGATACATGTATTGTGAGTACTGGTATTATGATACTTTGGAGGAGGGTACATGTATTGTAAGTACTGGTATTGTGATACTTTGGAGGAGGATACATGTATTGTAAGTACTGGTATTGTGATACTTTGGAGGAGGGTACATGTATTGTAAGTACTGGTACTGTGATACTTTGGAGAAGGATACATGTATTGTAAGTACTGTCTCACATTGTTTTCGTATCTTAGTCCGGCCAGACCAGGATTTGTGTCTAGATCCTTAAAACATTAGATGGAAGTTCATATCATGGGATCTACCTGGTCACTGTAAGTCATCTTGTAAACTCCCTCTTCCGTCTAACTTACCAAGTCTGCCTACAATCAATGATCGACTGTCCAATTTTACTAACCTGAAGTGGTATAAGGGAGATAACTCTGTAGTTATCGTAAAATGATAACATTAAATGTCACATGTATAATTGCTATCATCTTTGTTGACCTGATTCCAGCGTGATTTTACCTAATCAATAAAACACCAGGTAGATGCATACGTCACAGGTATATCTACCTGTATCTAACTTCTAACTGAACATTGGATGGGGGCTTTCACCTGATAGGTTGAGAGAAGAACTGATCAGACATTTACTACAAAACAAGAGGCCCAGGCATCTTAATAGCTCACCTGGTATTTCATTTTCAATTTAAAACCTGATGAGTACCATACAGGTTTATCAAAGGAGTACAAGAAGTACAAGTTGCAAGAAGAACCACATGTAAATCTGTTAGGTGGGTACGTAAGACACCAAGAGAATGAGTTTCCATGTTATGTCCCAAGGAGGTAGTCTCCAGGGGTTGGTCTGGACCTCCGGGCCAATCTTTGCGGCATGCTTTCTTTACTTCATGCCCAGAAAAAATTGTAGTTGGTTATAGGATAAAACCCATAAATTAATATGCAATGAGATGAATTTATTGATTTACCTCTATTTCCCCTGTTAGGTCACACCCATCTGCATGCTGTGGAGCCACACACTGTTTATACAACTTGAGTTCCACTTGCCAAAAGACGTTCTAGACCAAATTTGGTTCAAATCCATTCAATCACTTGGAAGGTGAAGGATTTAAAAATTTTAAATATTTGTAAATGGCCTTGACCCCCGCCCAAAGAAATACAAAATAATACAAATATACAAAATTTAGTGATAATTCTCTATTCACACAGAAAGAGAAAGCTTTTAAAATATTTCTCTTTATTTTCCCTATTCGGCCGCTTCCTTCTGGCCCTAAGACCAACATACTCTGGGGGGGCCACAGCATGCATTCATACAACTGATGCATCTTTTCCGACTACAGGATTAGTTTCGGCACTTTATGTAACGGTCCCTGTTACGAGTAGGTATTGTTATACTTTATAAACAAGAGGCCCAAGGGCCTTAGCGGTCACCTGAGTTATATCATAGGTACTGGTAGCCTTATTTCATTGTTTAGATGTGATTTCGAAATCAGCATGTAAACTAAGTGAAATACAATACTAATGTCATGTCATCAAAGGATAAGAATTTGAATGATAAAATATACCCAAAAGTATTATTTTGCTATATAAACTATAATACACTTTACCCCCTCCCCAAGGGAGAACGGATAGCTCGGGGATCCTGAAATTTACAATTTAAATAAAGCCCCTGATGATCTTTCTTTCCATGCACTGAAATTGACTGTAGTACCTTCGGGTCTGGATAAGAAGATTTTTGAAATATTGGTTAATTTTCCCTTTTGGGCCCCAGGGGTTGGGGTAAGAATCCCAAATTTACAATTTAAAACCATCTTCCTCCAAGGATAATTCTCACCAAGTAAAAATAATTGTAGTATATGTGTTAACTCTCTCACAATTTAGGTGAACAGGATTGCGTTTGAATGTGTTTAAGAAGCTAGGTGTGCATACATTTTATGAATCGGGCAACAGTATTTTTTTCATCGTCTAATTGAATCTGCAAAGATTTTCAAAAGTAAATGAATAGATTGATAGATAAATCAATCAATAGCTATTAGGCATGTTGTACATTGAACTATTAGTCATTTGATATCATGCCAGCTCATCTATTACATGTACACTTAGGCAAGTTTTAAGACACCACGGATGAAATTCATCCCCGATTGAGATGGAGAGTTGGGGTGAGAAATGGTGTCACTTATGCCCATATGTTTTGCACAATTTCTCACCCTGAGAAATTGTATTGCAAAGGCAGCAATTTTAGCATGATTGAGAAATCGTGTCGGGGTGAGCAATCGTGCCGTAACAATGTTATATCAGAAAAACTGGAAAAAAAAATGTTTTAAGTTACAATAAGTATAGATACTGTTAGTACCATTACGCGAAAAGACTATATCGTCAAATGGTGCGATTTCATAATTTCTTTTATCACTAGGAATATAAAATAAATCGTTTACGCTATAAAAACCAAAAAGCATTTCTTTAATATGTACGTAAAGCAGAAATGAAACATATTTCTGACAGCAGTGACCTTCGTTTTTCAGAGGTCATATAACAGAAAGAGTAGTCATACGTGCGTCAATATTCATTAATTAATTAAAAATCGAAAAACATCAATATGTATGCAAAGAAGATGTACAGAATAACAAGAGGTCCTGTGGCCTGACTAGCTCACTTGCTATGGTTTCTTACCTCCATTATAACTCTGATAGACAGACGGATGATAATTTAGTGAAAGTCTCGTCTTACTTTTTCCCTGTTAACCAATTTTAAGTTTTAAAAGGACATAAGAACTCTCCAGGTCACCCTTTTGTTTATACAAAGATGAACCCCGCTTAAGCAAAGGTTGCTCTGAATCAAATAGGTAAAAATCCCCATACGCAAATATTAGAATTTCAAAGATTTACCTGTATTTCTATTACTGGGCCATGTCCCTCTGCCACCTGGAACGCCACTCTCTCCTTTATATACCTGTATTTCTACTACTGGGCCATGTCCCTCTGCCACCAGGAACGCCACACTCTCCTTTATTTACCTGTATTTCTACTACTGGGCCAAAAGTTTTTATGTTATATAACCCGTACTGGGCCCCTTCCCACTGGAGTAAACAATAAATGATATACGGTACGGAACAATGTTTGGCGTTATATAGTATAACTCGGTACGGAACAATGTTTGGGGTTATATAGTATAACTCAGTACAGAACAATGTTTGGGGTTATATAGTATAACTCGGTACGGAACAATGTTTGGGGTTATATAGTATAACTCGGTACGGAACAATGTTTGGGGTTATATAGTATAACTCGGTACGGAACAATGTTTGGGGTTATATAGTATAACTCGGTACGGAACAATGTTTGGGGTTATATAGTATAACTCGTCTGTTTGCCTAAAAAAATCAAATTTAAGTTTAAACAGTCACATTTTGTAATCAATACAACATTTAATTATTATTTTTTCTTTCACAGGTACACAAAAGAAGACCTAAAAGATCCTCCAGAAGTTACTTCCCTGTACACTTTTATTTCTCCCACATCCACAACCATGGCAACCAAACACAGCAGCCCCAGTCCACAAATTCCAGTCAGGATCAAAGGCCACACAAAGTGTCCGTACCATAAAGACAATGAGGTGGTTCTCCTCTGTCAGGACTGTGGAATACTGATCTGTACGACTTGTTCCATAACAACTCACAAAATACATATTGATAGCTTTTGTGAAATTTCGAAAATTACAAATGAACAAAAAAATACACTACTGGACTTTATGAATGAAACAGAAAACATTGAAATTCCCAAACTCAAAAATGAAATCCAATCGGCAAGGAACGAAATTTCCACAAGTGAATCTAACTACAAAAAACTCTCTGTTAATATCAAAAAACAGCGCGATCAATGTAAACTAGATTTAGATAAAATAACGGAGGATTATTTAGCAATATGTAACAAGATGGAGAAAGGGACCACAGACCTCCTTCAGATTCACATCACAAACCTGGAGGACAGGTTAGACACTTTAGTTAAACTATCATCAGAGTGTAAACAGACCCTCCAGACAGGCACTGCTGTACTTGTGTATGACTCGGTATCGGAAATCAAGGACATGGACTTAGATATCCCACAGACACCTAACATAGACATGACAGAGTTTACTCCAGATAACAACAGACAACGACACCTCGAGCAGGCCATGGGGAAAATGAAGACTCCTACTGACCATTTCAAGGTAGGATTAGCACCTAGTGGTCACTCCAAAGAAGGTCCAGTTGTGAGACCTAAACTGTCCAAATCTACAGAGACGGGTCAAGCCTCCACTGGAGAAGTCCTGTACAAACTTTGTGATAGTCCAACTGTCATATCCCAGTTCTCATACCCAGATGGTATCACATCAATCTGTCCTACATCTAATGGCCGGGCATGGCTGTGTGATTGTAAAACCAACACAGTAAAACTCATCAACAACAAAGGTAACTTTTTCTCCAACAAACCTAAAGTCATACAGAAGATACAGCACAACAGTAACATTGATGACATCAGTCTGGACCCCACCACAGGTCGTCTGTGGTTCTGTTGTTTTAATGAGGGAACTATCTATGAAGTATCTACATCAACAACACCAGTCACAAGGTTTACTACAGAGGGGTACCCACAAAGTCTGTGTGTGACCAGGGAGGTCACAAGGTTTACTACAGAGGGGGACCCTGACAGTCTGTGTGTGACCAGGGAGGGTCTGGTAGTGGTGGGTACAGCGGGTACACAGGGGTACAAGGTGGTGATGTACACAGCAGATGGCCAGGTGTTACACACATCCACTGTGGAGGGGTCAGGGGAGGGGGCAGTACTGTCCATCACACAGTGTGGTGTTACAGGTAACATAGCTATAGTGAGTAGTAAACTAATCAGTGGAGACGGTAGTCATCCAAACAACTACAGGAATCACATCACTGTGTACAACCCAACACTCCAGCCCCTGGTCCACTACCGGGGAGAGGGGATACAGGCACGGGAGGCGGTCACACCAGACAAGTTTGGTCCAGTAACAGTTATATATGACAGTAAGGGTAATATTGTTATTACTGATTATACAAGGAACACAGTAGAGCTGATAAGTGGAGCAGGGAAGTACATAAAAACACTTCACACAAACAAAGGACAGGGACAAGTAGGTATACAGAAGGATGATGTGTTGTGGTCATGCTTAGAGTTAGATACAGGAGAGTGGGGACTCAAACTTCTCAAGTATTACAGTGACTGAGGAGTGACTAAACCTGGAGTGATGATACAGACACATTTTACGAAATAAATACAAAAAGACATAAATTCTAACATTAAACTTTGACCGTTGTTATTATGATCTTATACACTTGATCAACACTTATACTGACTAACAATATCATGTTTGAGGAATTAATGTAAACATGTCACAGATTTATTGTTTTGTAAATAGTTTCTGTTACAACTTCTTTTTAGAAGTGTTGTTTCAAAATAATGTCATCATTAATTTTAACAAACAGCCATGCCGGAACATCAGGTTCATTTATTTTGGTATGAAATATGTTCTTTTCAACCTTCAAGAAAAATGTCATTGATTTCTAAAACCTGCAATGAAATCTGAAATCAGCGTCTCTGTACTAATGACTTGTTTTCTAGGTGTATAACCTGACTTCCCTTATATCCTCAAGTAGACTGTTCTAAAAACCTGATCTACCCATAAATATTGGGCATGGACCTTGTGTAAATATCGAAGGACATCAAAAACAGTAAATCTGCTATACTGAACTACCCAGTAGTGAAGTGGGGTAAACCACTCAAACAAACAAAAAAATCACTGATTGTGTCACTAACATAGTTCCAATATACATGTATTGTCATCATACATTGTTACAAATCAGCTCTTCCCAAACATCAGTCTGTAATATGTTCTTTTCAGTATTCAAAAAAAAAGGTCATTGATTTCAAAACCCTGCAATGAACTCTGAAATCAGCGTCTCTGACTTAAATTGACCTGTTCTCTAGGTGTAAAACCTGACTTCCCTTATATCGCACCTAAAGTGACCTAGGATTGAGGTTTTAATTTCGTTGTTACATGATGCGATAGAGATTTTTATTGGACAGATAAATGAAATGTTTGCTGTGAGTGTGTATGAGTCAGAATATCTGAACGTGTTGTTAAATGTGTCACCTAAGCACTTGGATATGTTTGGTCTGAAAGTTAAGAAGATGTTTGGTCTGAAAGTTAAGAAGATGCCTCACAAATATCAGTAAAGAAATTATTATGTATGCCATGCAAGTTGTGTGACAGTGAGTGACCACAAAGATGTTTGATGTTGTTTTTAGCTCACCTGACACGAAGTGCCAAGTGAGCTTATGCCGTGGCGCGGCGTCCGTCGTACCAAGTTTGTTCAAATGAATGACCTTCAATTATATTCAAGGTCACAGGGGTCAATTGTCTTAAAAAACCTTTAAACAACTTCTTCTGAATAACCAAAATGCCCAGGGTGATGATATTTGGCCAGTAGCATGCTGAGATGAAGGGCTACCAAGTTTGTTTAAATGTATGACCTTGAATCATATTCAAGGTCACAAGGAGCAAATATGTTCAAAATATTTAAAGAACTTGTTCTGAATGACCAAAATGCTCAGGATGTTGATATTTAGTCAGTAGCATGCTGGGATCAAGGACTACTATGTTTGTTAAAGTGAATCACTTTGAATTATATTCAAGGTCACAGGGGTCAAATTTGTTTAAAATCTTTAAACAACCTCTTCTGAATAACCATGGGTCCCAGGATGTTGATACTTTGCAAGTTGCATCCTGAGATGAAAGGCTATAAAATTTGTTCAACATAATGACTTTGTTCAACTTTCAATAATAGGGGCGAAATGTTTAAAAAAAAATTAACAGGTTCTTTTGAATGAATTTTATTCATAAATACTGATATTTTGCCTGTAGCTTTATTTTAGATCACTTTTAAGGTTACAAGTGTGAGATTTTTACCAGGTGAGCGATGCAGGCCTATTGGGCCTCTTGTTATTGTTACCATTGTAAATGCTTTGTTCTATTTTACATCAATGTTACTGTAATCCACTGATATTTCCTGTGATTCATATTTTCACATTAATTGGTAAGGGGAGGCAATCATGAGTACAAGTATCTAGACTTGTAAATAGTATGTTCATCACACTTAAAGGACTCAAGCAACTAAATAATTAAATATACGCGATAACATTTTTCATTTTTCCCCCCAGCAACAATGGAATTCATAGCTTTTTATCTTAGTGCTGATATATTTTTTAAGTTTACTGATTTTGTATTTTATAACATGTTTACCAGTGAATTGTAATTAGTAAACATTTTACTCGCACACTTTAAAGTGTTGTTTTTTCACAGTGGGATTGAATTGACCAATAAGATAGCAGAATTTAACGAAAAAATAACAAAGTGTAATACAACTGTGATTTTTAAATCAATTAGACTATAAATTCATCTTTTACTTTGAAACATCATTGAAACTAAGTTCTTTCAACAGCTGTGGTTCATAAGGTTTTTTCTCACTAAGAGAGATTAAGTATATTATTTGTAAATGTTATTTAACTTTAAATCAATGATATAATAAACTTGTTTAAAAAGTTTTCAAATTGTCCTTTTTTAATTTAGCTTTGATTTTTATCCTGCCATCATCAGATGGTAGGCTGTTCAAATCGCCCCCTTGTCTGTGGTCTATCAACCGTCCATCGTCTATCCTATACCCCCCTCGTCTGTGTTCTATCAACCGTCCGTCGTCTATCCTATAAGCCCCTCGTCTGTGGTATATCAACTGTCCGCCGTCTATCCTATAGCCCTCTCATCTGTGGTCTATCAACCGTCCCTCGTCTATCCTATAGCCCCCTCGTCTGTGCTCTATAAACTGTCCATCCTCTATCCTCTAGCCCCTCGTCTGTGTTCTATCAACCGTCCGTCGTCTATCCTATACCCCCCTCGTCTGTGTTCTATCAACCGTTCGTCGTCTATCCTTTAGCCCCTCGTCTGTGTTCTATCAACCGTCCGTCGTCTATCCTATACCCCCCTTGTCTGTGTTCTATCAACTGTCCGTCGTCTATCCTATAGCCCCTCGTCTGTGGTCTATCAACTGTCCGACCTCTATCCTATAGCCCCCTCGTCTGTGTTCTATCAACCGTCCGTCGTCTATCCATTAGCCCCTCGTCTGTGTTCTATCAACCGTCTGTCGTCTATCCTATAGCCCCCTTGTCTGTGGTCTATCAACTGACCGTCCTCTATCCTATAGCCCCCTCGTCTGTGGTCTATCAACTGTCCGTCCTCTATCCTATACCCCCCTCGTCTGTGTTCTATCAACTGTCCGTCCTCTATCCTATAGCCCCCTCGTCTGTGGTCTATCAACTGTCCGTCCTCTATCCTATAGCCCCCTCGTCTGTGGTCTATCAACCGTCTGTCGTCTATCCTTTAGCCCCTCGTCTGTGTTCTATCAACCATCCGTCGTCTATCCTATCGCCCCCTCGTCTGTGGTCTATCAACTGTCCGTCGTCCATCCTTTCGCCTCCTCGTCTGTGGTCTATCAACCGTCCGTCGTCTATCCTATCGCCCCCTCGTCTGTGGTCTATCAACTGTCCGTCGTCCATCCTTTCGCCTCCTCGTCTGTGGTCTATCAACTGTCCGTCGTCTATCCTATCGCCCCCTCGTCTGTGGTCTATCAACTGTCCGTCGTCTATCCTTTCGCCTCCTCGTCTGTGGTCTATTAACTGTCGGTCGTCTATCCTATCGCCCCCTCGTCTGTGGTCTATCAACCGTCCGTCATCTAACCTATAGCCCCCTAGTCTGTGGTCTATCAGCCGGCCGTCGTCTATCCTATAGCCCCCTCGTCTGTGGTATATCAACCGTCCGTCGTCTATCCTATCGCCCCCTCGTCCGTGGTCTATCAACCGTCCGTCATCTATCCTATAGCCCCCTGGTCTGTGGTCTATCAGCCGCCCGTCGTCTATCCTATAGCCCCCTCGTCTGTGGTCTATCAACTGTCCGTCGTCTATCCTAAAGCCCCGTCGTCTGTGGTCTATCAGCCGGCCGTCGTCTATCCTATAGCCCCCTCGTCTGTGGTCTATCAGCCGGCCGGCGTCTATCCTATAGCCCCCTCGTCTGTGGTCTATCAGCCTGCCGGCGTCTATCCTATAGCCCCCCGTCTGTAGTCTATCAACTGTCCGCCGTCTATCCTATAGCCCCCTCGTCTGTTGTCTATCAATCGTCCGTCGTCTATCCTATAGCCCCCTCGTCTGTGGTCTATCAACCGTCCGTCGTCTATCCTATAGTCCCCTCGTCTGTGCTCTATCAACCGTCCGTCGTCTATCCTATAGCCCCTCGTCTGGTGTCTATCAACCGTCCATCGTCTATCTAATAGCACCCTCGTCCGTCGTCTATCCTTAGTTATTATTATCACTACTTCTTACTGAACTACCCAGGAGTGAAGTGGGGGTAAACCACTCAAACAAACAGAAAAATCACTGATTGTGTCACTTACACAGTTCCATTATATATGTATTATCATCATTCTTTGTTACAAATCAGCTATTCCCAAACATCAGGTCCGTTTATTTATGTCTGTAATATGTTCTTTTCAGTATTCAAAAACTTGGTAGCCCTTTATCCTAGCATGTACTTGCCAAATATCATTATCCTAGGCTTCTTAGTTATACAGAAGAAGTTGTTTAAAGGTTTTAAACATATTTGACTCATGTGACCTTGAATATGAGTGAAGGTCATCCATTTAAACAAACTTTGTAGCCCTTAATTACAGCATGCTACTGGTCAAATAGCATCATCATAGGCCTCTTGGTTATTGAGAAGAAGTTTTTAATAGATTTTAAACATATTTGACCCATATGACATTGAAAGTGGGTCAAGGTCATTCATTTGAACAAACCTGCTAGACCTTTATCCCAGCATGCTACTGGCCGAATATCATCACCCTGGGCATTTTGGTTATTGAGAAGACGTTGTTAATATGTTTTAAACATATTTGACCCATGTGACCTTGAATATAAGTAAAGGTAATTTGTTTGAACGAACTTGGTAGCCCTTTATTACAGCATGCTGCTGGTCAAATAGCATCATCCTAGGACTCTTGGTTATTGAGAAGAAGTTTTTAAAGGTTTTAAACATATTTGACCCATGTGACCATTGAAAGTGGGTCAAGGTAATTCATTTGAACAAACTAAGTAGCCCTTCATCCCAGCATGCTACTGGCCGAAGATCATCTCCCTGCGCATTTTGG